GAAAGAATACAACCTTGTCGTTCACCTTTCTTAGTTTTAAACCTTTCAGTGTTTCCAATTTCTGTTCGAAAAACTGCCATATATATATATATATATACACACACACATATATATGTGTGTATATATATATATATATATATATATATATATACATATATACACACACACACACACACACACACACACATATTTGGAGTCTCAGTGTGGAGCTTATTAGGATAAGCAGCATCGGACCTCAAGGCTGGTATGAACCACCAGGTCAGTGATTCAAACTTATCAGCTACTCCTCAAAAAACATATACTTTGGACGATCACTAGACCTTTCTTTTTTCTGAGGTAATTAACCGTTTGCACCATCAGGGACTCCATTCAGCATCTAAGCCACTGCCTTTGAGCTGATTCTAACTCATAGAGACCCTATAGTACATAGCAGAACTGCTCCTTTGGGTTTGTAAGACTAAATCTTTACAGAAGCAGATAGCCTCATCTTTCTCCTGTGGAGCAGCTGGTAGGTTTGAACCACCAATCTTGTCGTTAGTAGCCCAATGCTTAAGCTACAACATCATCAGGCCTCCTTACCCAGCATCTGGTAATGTTTTATTCAGAAAGTGTTTTCTCAAAATCTGAAGTCCTTTCATGTCACTGTCTTCAGAACCTTACCCCTTCCTCCTTCTGCCCTCCCCAATCTACAATTACTCAAAAAACGTGCTTGCTTCTGAATAACCCTAACCCTTCCAAAAAATATATATATATAAATATAAGGAGATCTGGTAGCGTAGTGGTTACGAATCGGGCTGCTAACCTCAAGGTCGGCAGTTTGAAACTACCAGCTGTTTTGCAGAAAAAGATGAGGCTTTCTGCTCCCGTAAAGATTTACAGCCTCTGAAACCCTGTGCAAGGTCGCTATGAGTCAGAACCAACTCCAAGGTACTTAACAACAAGAAATATATATATATTTAATCAAAACACACTTTTTTTGTTTGTACAGTTAAGAAATAGAGAAGGCAAAAAAGGTATATTAAAAGGTAAAAATGGATGTGGCAACAAAAAGAGAAGAGTGAAGGAGTCTAGGGTGGAGATGAGAAGCTCAGAGAAAAGGAGATGACACATAAAAGGAGAAAAGCTGGAGGACTGGTAAGTCTTTTCTGCATGCTTCTATAAATAGAGTTCTAAAGTTTATGATGACTGATTCCTGTTAGAGGAAGTACTTAGTATAAGAAAGAAATCCAGGAAGCATTGAGAGAGAGATGAGATACAAGGATAACAAACTGTTTGTGGATTCAATTATCCCGCAAACGCTATGTTGAAATCATACGCCTGTACCTGTGAATGTGACCTTATTAGAAATGAGGTCTTTGCATATGTAATCAAGATAAGATGAGGTCTTCCTGGATTCGGGTAGGTCTTAGTGGTCAAAAAGAGACTGGCGGAACCTGAAACTCTGGCCCTCGATCACCCTTCAGATCTGGGAAGGAACTCACCCTTAAGGTCCAATGCTCAGCTAAGCTGTATATAAGTACATAGGGGGGACAACAACACTAGCAAGATATGCTCAACATGGAATGGTCAATCATTCAAAATCAACAGGGCATCACTTACCTAAGGGCAAAGTTGAGAAAGAATGGGATGGCAGGTAGAATGGAAATAGAAACCACAAGGAAGGAAGTAGAATAACTGCTGTTACATGGTTGCATGGAGGGGATTATAATCATTGAGATGAAACAAAGTGTACGATTTGTTAAATGTAAAGCTGATGATCTTGTCTATAGACCGTCACTTAATTCACAATAAAAAGCTAAAAAAAAAAAAAAAAAATCAGCCTTATGTGGCTTAGGGGAAAAGATAAAAGCAAAAGCTCTATGAGACAGATATTATTTTAAGTACTACCCACTGACAAACTGATATTAAACAACTTGCCAAGGTTATAGGAGGGACATCCAAAAGTTCATGGAAAAACAGAATGAAAGGATAATGGAATTTCCTCACAAACTTTTGAAGCTCCCTCGGATTGTCACTTCTAGAACCAGGATTGTAGTGCAGGCAGCCTTGCTTTTGAGCATCTCCTATTAACCACTGTTATACACGAGGGCTGCACGGTCACAGGCAGTCATTGAGCATGTCAGATGCAGTCGGTCAGAACTAAGTTGTGCTGTCATGGTAAAACACATACTGGATTTTAAAGATGTATAACATCACTGTGAGTCAGAATAGGCTCACTGCAGTGGGTTTGGGTTTTTTGGTTTGTATAGAAAAAAAGAATGTAGACACTTCATTAATATTGTTGCTGTTAAGTGCTATGGAATCAGCTCTGACTCATAGAGATTCTGTATAGAGTTTCCAAGAAGCAGCTGATGCGTTTTAACTGCTGACCTTGCAGCTAGCGGTCCAGTGCTCATGCTACAGTGCCAGGATTCCATCTCATTAATACTTATGTTTATTAATTACATGGTGACAGGAGAATATTTTGCATACATAGGATAAAAAAGTTGCGCTGGTACCGTAGTGGTTATGAGTCGGGCTGCTTAACCTCAAGGTCAGCAGTTCAAAACTACCAGCTGTTCTGCAGGAGAAAGATGAGCCTTTCTGCTCCCATAAAGATTTACAGCCTCAGAAAGCCCATGCAAGGTCGCTATGAGTTGGAACCAACTCCACAGCACACCACCACCACCTCACCAAGGATAAATAAAGTACACTAAAATTAATTTCACCTGTTCTTTTTACTTTTTTACATGACCATAAGACATGTTTAGATGAAGTTAAGTGGCTGGCATTATATATCTATGAGACAATGTTACTGTAGAGGTACATCAGGATGTTTCATGTGATACCAGCATGAAGGAAAAGAAAAGAAAAATTCATATAAATATATGCATAGCATAACAAGGGAGAAAAATTAGGTAAAGTCTGTAGTCTTTATTTCTGCAAGTGATCTCTAGGTTGTGATCGGTATTTCTAACTTCTTCCTTCAACACCCATTTTATGTAGGATGTAGACTCACCTCTCAGATTCCTCACCCCTGTGTTTAAGATACAAGTGTATATAGATTAAGAGGTGAGTCACAAAAATGCAGAGGCAATGAAGTTCTTTGGCAGAGCTCTTAAATACTTACTTCTTCCAAATAAATGTTAAGTGTTTCGGTTCCATATTCGACCTTCTTCACCAGTGGTTGCTGGAGAAGCTAAACAGGAAAGCACAAAAAGGGAGACTAAGAAGAGTCAGAGCCTTCCTTACCCCTTCGGATAACCTTCCAAAGTTCTGTCATCATCGAGGAAACAACAGGTAGGAGAAAGTTACATACGAGTGATGCACTTGTATACCATGATGCCCAGCTCACCAGTTTTTTGTTTTTTAATGATAATATTAGAAACCATGGAACTAGTTAAATGAAGAAAATAGAGGTAACTTACTAAGTGATTGATGCCCTCCATGGGATTGAACCCAGATAACATCTTCACCTCCACAATAGCCATATTGGAAGAGCTACGACTCCCCACATAGCTAAGGAAGGAAAGAAGCAAACCTGTGTACAACCATTGTTTCTTCTCTCAGTGCATTCTGCATCCCCAGCAGACATACACACACACACATCCTACTCCATCTCCTACATTCCAGCTGCCTGGCCCCTCGACCATCCCACCCTGATTTCTCACCTGGTTTGAATAGTAAGAGTCAAGGACCGAGGTGAAGTAAGTTGGTCACATTCAGCTCTTCCCATTTCCACACTAAGACTAAAGGTCTCCACATTTTTAGGAGGGAGAATATTGTATCTCAGCACCGTCTGATAAGAGGAAATTGATAGCCAAATCAGATTGCATTGTTTAAACCACTTTCCTTACAAGATAGGGAGATCGAGAAAAGGTTGCATTTGAGGACTCTTTTTTCCAGCTTGAATTCTTTCCCATGGATCTTTGCTTACGTAAACATAGACACAGCCTTGACCAGAGGCTTCCAAGGTGTATACTCCAGGAATATTAGGGAGAGTCTCCTGCTGAAATATCAACCGATTGGCAGTCTGCACGCTGAAAGTATGCTGGAAATTCTGAGTGGATTTTACAGCCAGGCTGACTTCCTCGGATGGCATATAGGCGGTGGTGGCATATTTGGCAAGAGCTTGGAGAGCAACTACAGTATCCTGAAGGGGAAAAAACCCAAGCATATGCTTACCATTTTGTGAATCATGGAATTAACCTCAACAACCCTATAAACCCATACATCTGGTTGTTGTTAGCTGGCTTAGGGGATACCCTTCCTAAATATCAGGAGAACCACATTCATCTTTCCTGGGGAAGATGACAGAGAAATAAAAATAGATTTCCTTGTATAGCAAATGACTTTTAGCAAGTTAATATTGAATAGCCAAAGGTCATTTGGCTAAAATAATATATTTATGTTTAGAAACCATACCTAGCTTCAGAAAGGGATATTCCCTTGCTAGAAATAAATGGATAACTAACTGTTGAATATATATTTTGCAACTTCCTTATTTAGGGAGGAAACAGCAGTAACTTGATAACCATAGAAATCAGCCCATGAGGTTATTTAACTGCATAATAAGCTACAGCACAGTTGGGAAGGATGTCAGGGATCCATGGAAAGTCCTTCCTTGCAGGACAAGGCTTCTCAGCCACTGAAGCATATGGCAATCTTTTCTTCATCTGGGAATGAGACAAACTGTCACTAAGTGAGCATGGTATCACATAGCTTGAATCTTTCCATTGTGAAAACATGATTTATATCAGTTCTAAGTAAAAAGGAGATAGAAAGGAGTTCAGCAAAATTATCATAGCTTGCTTTGTAACATGAGAATTTTCCACACTCAACATTTTATAAAATTATCTATTTCAGCAAAAAGGGACTCCATTTCTTCATATCCAAATGAGAAAGAACAATTGTAGTAAGATGCCATCTTTGTCATATAAAATAGGGAAGACAGGCCACCCATCCAGGGAAAGCTGTGAACAGGTTATATCTCTGTAGTTTGATCATTTACAAACAACTCTTTGTCTAGCCTTAGTGAAATATAATCAGGAGGTTTTTACTGCTTGTCCATATGGAAACAATTCAAGGAAATGGACCTCGCCGTCAGCTGAAAAGCTAGTGTGGGCGATATGTGATACGTGACTTCTTGTAATAGCCAAGGATTTTATTGAGAAACAATTCTGACATATATCTGTCACTAGAGTTATAAGCATTTTGGCCCCTGCTTTCTAAAAAATATTTTTATGGATTATAAAGGTTTAAGACTGAAAAAAGATGAGTCTTTCTTGATCTTTGGTCAAGAATTTCCCTGAAACAGGGTGATATAGTACCATATAAGTTTTTTACATACCAAGTAGGTCTTTCTCATATTTAAACTCAGTACTCTTAATACTTCTACCAGATATTCTGTCTATGAAAACTCTGTTCATTTACATGTTACATCCTCAGTGAAACTCACCCTGGTTTCATCTACTCAAGGTCCAAGCTCTGTGAGGATAAGAAATATACTTTCTTGTTTACTTCTGTACCTGTGTTATAGTGGTTCATAAGGGTCTGTCACAATATTTGTAAAACAACCAATTGGATGATGCCTCATTATGGTAATGTTCTTATAAATTTCATTTATGACACCATTTGAACTTAATTAGAAAATTTTAACCCTCATTTTTTCCTACTGCCAACACAGTAACTAAATTTCTCTTTACCCCTAATCTAGACCAAAAAGAAAAAAAATCTCTTGATCATTTTTAGTCCAATGTCTCACTCCTCACTCCATACAACAACTTTCAGATTAATCTTTCTGAAACAAAGTTTAAAAAACATGACTAGCTCCCTAAAATTAGGTACAAATTGGAGTCTGCATACAAGGCCCTGCATACTATGAACCTAACTTACCTTTCCAGCAAAAAAGAGGATGACACCCTACAAGATGGATTGACATAATGGCTGCCTCACACATAAACACTGGCTTCAAACATAACAATTGTGGGATGGTGCAGGACCAGGCAGTGTTTCGTTCTGTTGTGCGTGTTGTGTGCTATGGGTGAGAATTGGCTGGACAGCAAACAAAACAAGTATTCCCAAAGGCCATCTTGCTGCTACTGCGTGCCAAAGAGTTGGTTCTGATTCATAATGACCCTACACAGGATTTCCAAGGCTATAAATCTTTACAGGATCAGACAACCTCTTCCTTCTCCTGAGTTGTTGTTGTTGTTGTTGTTGTTAGGTACTATTGAGTAGGTACTGACCCATAACAACCTTATGCACAGCATAATGAAACACTGCCCTATCCTGGGCCAACCTCACTACTGTTGCCACGCTTGAGTCCAT